TAATTTGCAAACGTGTCCTGGTAAAGCCTTAAGAAAACCATCAGGAGGCTGCATGTACACCTCTTCCTCTAAGAAACCATGGAGAAAGGCATTATTAATGTCCAGCTGATGCAAAACCCATTCCTTAGCTGCCACTATAGCAAAAAGCATCCTGACGGTAACCATTTTCGCAACTGGGGAAAAACTATCAAAATAATCTACCCCTTGCAATTGGTGATATCCCTTGGCTACTAGTCTCGCCTTTAGCTTGTCAACTGTACCATCTGGGTTTAATTTGACCTTATAAACCCACCGTGATCCAATAGCCTGTTTCCCATGTAGAAGAGTAGTCAGTTCCCAAGTATGGTTTCTCTCCAGGGCATCAAGTTCAGTCTGCATTGCTTGATTCCAATCTATACTCTTACTAGCTTGATTGTAAGAAGTTGGTTCCTGGATAATTGACAAGGCAGCTAGAAAAGCAGCATATGATGAACTAAGGTGTGGCAAAACATGATAAGGAAAAGTAGGTGGGGTGTAACCTGATGAACAGAGGAGGCTGGCCTGCAAAGTGAATCATGAACAGCAGTTGGCAAAACTTGTGTGCTGTTAACATTGGTAACAAAGTCCTGCAACCAGGGTGGTTTAGATTTTGTCCTGGTACTCTGTCTGAGAATAGGAGTAGGGGATGGAAGAGGTGAAGAATGTGAGGATTCTGTAGTCTGTGTTTCAGGAAAGGGAACTGGAATCAAAGGAACTAAAACAGAAGAATTGTTTGGGGAATGTACAACTTCAGGAGGAGTATGAATTTTATGAAGAGGATGTAAAGGAGTATCTGTGCTGATATCATCTGAGTCAAAATCTTGAGTGAGGGGTAATGGAAGTTGAAAATCATCAGTTACTTTATCTTGAAAAGGAAAAATAGACTCAAAAAACCTTACATCCCGAGATACTTGAATTTGTTTGGTGGAAAGATTGAAGACTTTAAACCCTTTTTGACCAGGATTGACACAAAGAAAAATACATTTAAAACCTCTTTCCTCAAATTTATCTTTATGGGGCTTAGTATTTGCCATGTAGCATAACGATCCAAAAGTTTTAATCAAGGAATAATCGGGTTTCTTTCCATATAGCTTCTCAAAAGGAGTAAGCCATTTTAAGATTTTAGTGGGGAGTCTGTTGATTATGAAAGTAGCCATTAATATGGAAAATGGCCAAAAATTTTTTGGCAGATAAGCTTGGAACATAAGGGACCTAGCAAGTTGGAGGAGAAGCTTATGTTTGCGTTCTACAACTCCATTTTGTAGAGGAGTATAGACGCAAGTTCTATGGTGAACAATCCCAGAATTTCGAAGTAAGGTTTGACATTCATCACTAAGGAATTCAGTGCCATTGTCACTTCTCAGGCATTTTACTCTCTTATCAAATTGATTTCCCACCATTTTAAAAAAAACAGTCAAGTGTTTTAGTGACCTGTGTTTTGTGTAGGAGTAGGAAAGTCCAGGTTGCTCTACTTAAATCATCCACCACGATTAAGATATATGGTGTTCCTGTCAATGAAAATTGTCTATAAGGTCCCCAAAGATCTACATGAATCATTTCAAAAATAGCTTCAGTATGAATTGATCTAACAGGAAAAGGTGTTCTTTGTTGTTTAGCCTTATGAAAGATTTCGTAATGTTGTAAAAATTCAGATTCCACGGGGAAGTGTTTCAGAAAATCCAAGTATTGCAGGGAATGAAAGGATGTATGTCCAAGTCTATTGTGCCATTGAAGAAATGAATCAGTAGAGGGTGAAACAGAAATTTTATTGATATCATAAGTCTGGTTACACGATAAAAGGGACTTAGAAGTTTCAAATTCAACTATAGACTGACCAGTGTTTCTTCTATTACAAAAAAGGAAACTAGACTCATCTAACAGATAAAGATTTCCTACAAGCTTGCCAACCACTAGAACTCCTTCACTCTGTAAGTCCTGCAACAAGCAGAAAGAAGGGTAAAATGTCAGTTTTAAATGTGCATTTTGAGTAAGTTTAGGCACTGATAGAAGATTGAATTTGAAACTAGGGATATATAGTGAGTCTGTGAGATATAATTGTGAGTGCAATTTCACATTTCCAATTTCGTTTACAGGTTTGGTAGTTCCATCAGGTAGGCAAACATTTATAGGTTGTGTTGTGAGTTTTATTTCTGTCATCAATGTTTTGTCTGCACATATGTGATTACTAGCTCCCGTATCAATTATCCAAGTACCAGATTTCAAACAATCAAGTCTAGGCAGAAGGGAATGATAGAAACTCATACCTGCATACTCTTTAATATGAGTAAAAGTCACCTTATTCTCCATATCCATCAGCATTTTCCCTTTCAATGCTCTCTGAACTTCAAGTTTTACTATGTTTGCAATATTGGTTGACATGACAGTATCATTCTTCACTTGATCTTCATTAAAATCCAATGGTGTTTCTGCCATATTTGCTAAGAATTTTCCATCAGTAAAATTTCTAGATCTTTGTTCCTTCAGATCTCTATACTAGTCTGGGTAACCATTTAGCTTAAAACATGTATCCTTTGTATGACCATTCATATTGCAATGATCACAGTGTGAGTTTTCCCTTACAATAACACCAAACCTTCTTGCATTTCCTCTTGCTGAACTGTAATTGCCCCTACCTAAACGTCCTCTGCCAAATCCTCTATAGTATCCAGTTCTGTTTCCACCATCTCTCTTATACTCAGTAGTTCTGATAAGCACGGTTGAATTGTCATTCATCTCAGGAAAAATTACGTGCACTTCTCTTTGTTTTTCCACTCTAAGCACCATAGAATAGGCATTGTTGACGGTAGGCAATGGATCCATTACAAGAACTTGATTTCTGATGTGATCAAAAGTATCGTTTAACACCATCAAAAATTGCATTAATCGATTAAAGGCTGTCAGATTTGATACCTCATTTGACGCTGAACAAGTGCAGATTGGAATAGGCATTAAACATGCTAGTTCATCCCACAGTTTCTTCAATTTTGTGTAGTATTTCTCAACTGTCAATACCCCCTGTGAAATGCTTCCTATTTCCCTCTGCAATTGGTATAATAGGGGCCATTGCATTCCCCATATCTCTCCTTAAGCTCTTCCCAGAGATCCTTAGCTGTCATGGTGTAAATAAAAGCCTCTACGATCTCCTTCGAAATTGAATTTAGTAGCCACGATCTAACCATACAGTCAACTCGTACCCATTGTTCAAATCTGGCTGAATTTTCAACTGGTTTTTCACAATTTCCATTAATAAAACCTAATTTCAATTTAGCTTCCAAGGCTATCTTAATTGATCTACTCAAACTAAGATAATTTTATCCTGTTAGGTGTGAAGTAACAAACTGCATTCCTGGATGGTCTGAGCTTTGTAAGTCTAATGGATTATCATTAAAGTATGTCTTCTCCGCCATTTGCTTTTCTGTAGTTTCATCGTCTTCCGATTCCATTTGAGGTAAATCTTCGAGTGCTGCCATTTTACATCAGCAACACTTTATTCTTCAGAGCCTTGAACCTTGCTCGATACCATGAACAAAAGTAAAAATGAATTAATTGTTATAAAAATCAAAACTATATGGGTGTGATCTCCATCATTTATATAGATGGAGAAGAAGCTGTTACAACCAATTGAAAAGAAACAAACAAGCCATAACAAAAATAACAGAAAATGTAAAGTAAAAGTGAGATAAAAGCGTGCAAGAGTAATCACGTTTTTATCTCCTTTATTCTCTATAGCTGGGTTCTAAAACTGGGCTGTATCAATGGACTGGGCTTCAGTAAAAAAAGACTGCTACAACCCGGCTCCAGTAAAGCTTCAACAGCATGCCGAACTGAAGCTTGGTATTCCTTCAAATGGTTGGTAGAATATGAGAAATGTAGAGCACATGTACATCTCTTTGTTAACAAACCTAAACCATTGTACATCATCCATTTCGGTTGCAATTTCTTTATAGGACATTGTATTCTCTGAGGTTTTTCAGAAAGGTGACTCCAATTTTAGAGGAGGCTTTGACAAAAATGGCCGAGTATCAGATTGGAGCTTCCACCCAAGCCTCAGAACCTTGTTTTGGAATATAGTTTTCATGTCCAAACATGCTTCCATGAACAGTTTTCTCCTTCCGGAAAATAGGCCCTAACCATTTCCTTGCCTTTATCTAGAACAGGCACTACTAGGATCTCTGTGCCTACAAGAAATTGCTGATATAGTATGCACGTATTCATCTTCTGGATAGTGGAGGTATAGATGGCGTCAACCAGGTAGGCCCTTTTCAGAGACTTCCTGTATAGTAAACATTATTGGAGATAGTTAGATTTCAGTTCCAATTGCGTTGAGTTTGTACCAACAACACTGAAATTACCTTTACTAGTTGGATCATGTAAAACTTCCAAGCTTTGTATATCGGCAAAGCATGCTAAATGCGATAAAGTTCTGTGGTTGAACTGGCTTTTGCTAGTTGGTTTGTTTCCCTGATCGAAATGTCAGTAATTAGCAAACAATTGTGAAATCTCGTAGCACAAAAAAGAGAAGAATAATAAAATTAAAAATGCAGAGGTTAGTACTACTATGTACAATGATGATAAGATGCCAATTTTATTTGTTAAGTACAATTAGATTTGAAGTTGAATTCCCACTTTACCCTTTGAGCAACGACATATACAATATGCACTGAAACAAGCTCCTTGCATGATGATATTAGAATATGTATTAAACTTTTATACATTTTACAGGGCAATCTCTCGACTTACTTCACGTGTCCGGAGGACAAAGCAGAATGCATTCAGCTCCATCCACTGCAATAGTAGTTATTCGCTCCTTTGATACTTCAAAAATGGTCCAATATCACTATGATTCAAAGCTTACCCTGAACGTCCATTGCTGAGCAATCCTACCACTGCACTCTTTATCCCATCATTAGCTTGCCAACTTACCATTTGATCACCTTCCCAAAATAGGGTCGCCCATTTTGGACTATTCCTGAAACCAGCCTTCATGAAGAAAACCAGGGCCTCTTCGGATCTTCCTTCTCCTTACCCACAAGACTACTTTTCCATTCTTCTACAAATTCCCAGTTTATTTTTGCCCGTAGCTCTGGGTATCTATTATGGGCCGTAATTGGATCTTCACCTACGAAATTGTAAATCAACTTGATTAAACAATGGATTTGAATATTCGGACTAGAGGTTCGATTATAAATAATATGTCATAGATGCATTTTGTTCAAGAAGATGTAATCATTTTACACATTATTATGGGAAGCAAACAGGAGAAATTTATGAAGAGGAAAAAGAGCCGTGATATGTAATTGAATTTTTTCTACTTGACAGTGTGTTCTATTTTACTTTTTAACCTAAAGATTGAAGCGAGGTGACAACGTAAGATTGACTTCAACCTGAATAAAGGCAAGCGTCAAATGGCAGGCCTTCACTAAAATCAACCACCTTTTCTTGCAAAATCTGTTTGAACCAACTTTTTGTCTGTGGATTGTTCAGATCCAGCATTCCAACATCAAAAGCTGTATTAGGAACCATATATGGGTCTCCATGTTTCTCCTTCACTAAGATGTCTACTACATCCAACTGGCGAAACTGTCATAATTCCTCTCCTCCTCGAAAAATATCTACTACATCCAACTCGAAGTCTCCGAATTCGACCAAATTTTGAAGTGAAGGCTCTGTAACTATAAGTTCTTGGAGAAAGCTTTTGCCGATATTCCATTTTTTGTTTTGCTAGTTTCACTTGGAATCCAATTTGGTTGTTGTTTTCTGATCAAACAGCATCCAGTACTTCTGTACATAGCATTAGTGGACGGTTGTTTTTCTATTGATTCAGAACTTTGTATACTGTTTTTCCTTTTCTTCACACACAAGATCTTCCCAGTAATCAGAAGAGCAGGTAACTGTATTCCTTTGTGTTGACTTTCTTGATCCATTACATTGCTAAAAGAGGTAAAATCTTGATTATTTGCATGTAAAACGATATCATATGGATCAATGGTCCTGATATTATCAATAGTTTGATGATTGCATATCAAGTGGATATCTCTGTCTTTGATAACAAATGATCATCTACTCTCTTCAATCTCTATTTCAGCCACTGCTGCAGAAACAAAGGATCGTCCTCGAATGGTTGACCACATAGATCTTGAAGGTTGAGACTTATGGAATATACATAGAGACCCGCCATTTTTGGATGACCAATTCAACTGAAAATCCTTTCTAATGTCATAGATCCGTTCTGAAGGGACTGACTGAGAATCGAATAGAAGATTTGCATGAATACAAGGGAGAGTTTTCGGGTTTGAAGTCAAAGGGTTGTTGAGGTGATTATTAAAATGTGAAAATGGAAAAATGTGCATGAATTTACTATTCTATCCTTATTGACATTTATAGTAATCCACTAGTTTTCCAATTTTGACCGATTAGAAAGAAAGATCCAGGACTTTGAAATTTCGATTATGGGTTCTGCACAAGTTTTGAATTGGTAATACGAAACTAGAAGAGGAGAATAGTGTTCACCCCAAAAAGTGTTGCCAACAGACGCCGGGCTCACTCGTGTATGCGTAAGCTTAATCCAACACGTTAATGCCGGTCGACGGTCATGATAGCTCTAAAATCTGGACGTGGGAGGAGCTCAACGACACGAGACGTCACCGTTCGGGCTTCCGGCAAGATAAATGTAACACGATTGTATAAGAAACCAATCGATAAATAACAAGATTTGTAGTAGAAAATACGCTGTTAAACGAGAGAGAGGAGAAAATCATATTGCTTTAAGTATTTGAAGTTTCATTAACCTCTTTTGTGTTACATGGTGGGGGTATTTATAGTGTTACAACTTAAATGGTGACTTTTGGATCAATTTACACGTGGCCTCATCTCCTCGGCCAAGACATCAAGTCCTAACCATCAAGTTGACTCTCCTAGCCTTACAAAACTTTAAATGCTCTTACATTGACAAGATCAGGCACAAATATACTTTACACAAAAGTCACGTCAATCATTCAAATAAAGATTTTCAGTATGAGTGAATCTTCACACGTGGGTGTTCACTAGCTGCAATAGGGCCTCAAATAGTGTATGGCCACGGAACCAGGGCTTCGGCTAACAATGATGGCCTCGGAATAAGGACCTCGGTTAACAATGATGCCCTCGGATAATGGGGCCTCGGCTAACAATGATGGCCTCAGAATAAGGGCCTCGGTGACACGTCAGAGGCCAGGAAAACAGATCCTGATTCAATTGGGTCCACCGTCGAAATATGGTCCCACGTGGTGCTTCTATTTATGAGTCGTAACAAATAGAATGAAAGGGTTCATGTTATCGACTGCAGATTTATTGTGTGTCGAACTTAATTTGTTATTTGTATATCAATAAGTATAAAATACGAGCTTACATTGGGATTTTTATGGTGTTTCATATTGCAATTATTTGAAATCAGGATAGAGATTAGATTAATACGAGCCTACACTTGTATTTTTGTACAACCAAAAATCAATTTTATTTAGCATGGGCCATTTAGCCCATTTAGCTTCGGTAGAACTAGGTGTGCGGGCCATTTAGCCCATGCTAAATGTACCTATTTTATTTAGCATGGGTTAATATTCAATAATCGAGCTTCTAGTTATGTACCTATTCGTATATACTATTGGATTCTTATGACTATGAATATTTAATTTTAGCAATTTTTCAGGCTATTTGTGCGTTCCTTGATTAAAGTAGTTGTGTAGATCCAAAATCATTAGCTCGTACGTATTGTCGGGCATGAATTGGAATTGTGCTGAGTCGTGAAAAGTCTCACTATATCTGACACAAAAAAATTCAACATGACGTCATGCTTAATTTGGCACACAAAAATGTAACATTAGGTCATGCCTAATAGGGTCTGTTAACATGTGTGGGACGGTCCTATTTACACTGCTAATCTTACATTTTAATTTCAAAATAAAAATTTATATGGCTTCAAACTCGAAGCTTTAATATTTTTATGGTTGCAAACCGATCAATTTCTGCCAAACCTAGGCTTCTTAATGTTGAATGTCGAGGAAGATTGAAACAAATAGTCACAACCCGTGAGAAGTTCCCAAACATGGACAACCATTAGCTTCAGGTGATGATAATAAGCCTGTACATTAATAATTATAAATAATATAACTTTTAGATCAATTACCAATGGCATAACCTATAAACAGAATCCAGGTCATCCGATTAGCTGTTAATAGGCTAAATGATTGATTTTTCTTTTTCCAGTTTTGAATTAAAGTGTTTTTTAAGCATTAATAATAGGGTTAGACATATTTCCATTTAATTCTGGTTTTAAGAGAATCAAACCGAATCATTAACTGATGATTTTTTTAATAATGTAACCAAATCGGAACCAAATTATTCGGTTTTGGTTTGGTTTGATTTGGTTCAGTTCTAGTTTTATTTCTTAAACTTTCAGAATTCCACTATATTCATTAGCTAGTAATATATATTAAATAAAAAAAATAAACATCAAACATTCAATAAGTTCAATTTATTAATCATCAATATCACAAAAGTACAAACTAACAAACAAAAAATAATCATAATTTGAATACACAAATCAATTTCTATTCCCATACAATAGATTATCTAATAAGTAAAAACAATGATTCATTAAAATAATTGCAGCAATTTTGACTGCACCTCCCCACAATATTTATTGGTTTTTCTCTATTTGTGAAGAACACAAATAATTTTGCAAACAATCAAAGTGAAAAAATAGTTTAAAGGCTTTTTAAGCTACTAACCAATTTCATTTTTCAATCTTGAAAGAATCTTCCACTAACGTGATGAAATGTGATGTCGGTGTGTCGTGACATTGTGTAAATTGAAAATGAGTGAAAGAAAAATAATCCAAATGAATACAAAATTAGGGTGTACATAATTAATTGACTATCTCTAATGACCCTAAATCAATTAAAGGACTTTCTCTAATTAATGGACCGTCTCTAATGAATACAAAATTTCCTAATTAATCTATATAAAAAATAAAATTAAATGGTTCTTGGTTATCAGAACCAAAATCATTAATTTTTTTTTTCTTGTAGAACCAAATCGAACAGCTCAGTTCGGTTCGGTTCTAGTTTGGTTTAGTTTGATCTTAACATGTTGTCCACTCCTAATTAATCGAATCGGATATTGAATTGATTCTCAGACTTTGATTGAATCAATTGGACCAATCCGATCTTCATAACATTGATAAATACGCAATGATGTTAATGTGAGAAACACTTGGAAATAATTTCTTTTGAAAGCTCTCAAACCTACAAGATGTTTACGTCTGAATAAGTAATACAATTAGTTTGGCACAACATTAAAATATGGGAAAAATTCATAAGTAAGAGGATAAGTATCCCCTGTTTCAAAATTAAGAAAACAAGTTTGGAATTTAAAAAATCAGATTTTTATTAAAATTTATTATGATTTAATTAATTAAATATAATGATGTCATAATTATACAATTAATGGTCACATGTATATAATTAATTGGTCACAGATTATTTTTGAGGTCACAAATCAAAAAATTTATAGGTCACGAATTATTTCGAGGTCACAATTCAAAAATTTTATAGGTCACAATTTGTTTGTCTGTCACATATCAAAATTTTTGGAGGTCATGGATTATTTTAAGGTCACAAATCAATAATTTTATAGGTCACAGATTATTTTATTGATCACGGATAAAAAATATTACAAGTCGTGACTCATTAGACGGTCACAAATCATCAAATTATCGGTCACAAATTAACAATTTTCTAGATCACACACATTTTTTGGTCACAATTTATCTTTTTATTGGTCACAACTTATTTCCTAATCACAAATGAAGAATTTTATAGGCCACAATTATTTCTCGATCACGAATCAAAAATTTTATCTGCCACAGATTATTTATCGATTACAAAATCAAAACTTTTATTGGTCACAACTCGATTACAACTTAATAAATTGTAAGTCACAGTCACAATTTTTATGTCACGTATTATTTATTTGACAAAAAATAACCAATTATTGGTCACAAACACCACCACTGCCACTTGCGCACCCTCACCCTCACCCCACCACCACCAACACCCGGGAAACCACCACCTCCACCACCAACAGAAATGCACCACTGTGACCGCCACCACCAACAACCACCTCCACCACCAACAAAAACGAACCACCACCGCCTAGCCACCGTCACTGTCCATTGCCACCACCGTCACATCACCGCTACTACAACACCAACATCACCTACGCCCCATCCTGCCACTCACCGTTGACATCACCACCACCACCACCACCTAAAACCGCCACCACACAAACATCATCACCACCACCATACAAAACCATACAAAGCACCACAACCACCACCACAGAATCGCCACTGTACAAACACCACAGCACCGCAACCGCCAAATCCACCACCACAAAATTGCCACCATACAAAAACCTCGGCGACGATTCGCGTTCCTTCTGACCGAAGGGGACGGGTTTGTGTAAAGAGAGATAATGGAGGAGAGCACAACGTTTGATCTAATCGACGGAAACTGCCACCACCACACCAACAAACAAACCCAAAACCACCTCACCGTCGTCGCAGATCCACCACCTGCACCAACCACCTATTAGCACCCCCATCACCACCAAACTGCAACAGTGCCCCTTCTACACGAAGCCAAACACAGATTTTTCTTCCCCATATCACGAATCTCCACCGCGCAACGGCCACACGTCGCAGATCCACTACCACCTGCAAGGCGTGCAGGTGTCATCAGATCTGTAGTAAATAGAGAGACGGTGGTCGGATTTGTGGTGAAAGCAGGTCGGATTTAGCTGGCTGGGGGGAGGGGGAGAGAGAGAGAGAGAGAGAGAGAGAGAGGGAGAGATAGAGATAAGAGACGGTTTTGGGGGAATTGGGTTG